AAGAGAAAGAATTTTACCTTCGTTGAAACCCTAGCTTGCAAAACTTCTTGAAGTATTCCAACCATGCAAAGTTCTCCACCCTACCTAGGTTTTCATCAAAAAAAAAAAAAAAAACAAAGCAGTAGTATTCTACTGAGTATCTTGTATTCTCTTTTCGTTCGGTGTTAATAAAGAGTGCGAGTGTTTCCTACAGCGAGTTGTATTAAAAAATCTTGTATCAAAGTGAGGTTGGCGTAGGTTGTTTGATCTCTTGGAATTCTTGATATGCTTTGTGGTTGAAGCTTTGTCTGATCTTCCACGTCAGAAATGATTTCTTGAGATTTTTGGTGAGTGAGTTTAGTTGTATTATGAGTAGTCTGTGACTCTGCGAATATTGTATTGAAAAAACTTGTTTTGTATTACTAAGGTATAGCAAACACGATGGGTATCCCTGAATGCATGAGCACACATTAATTCATGAGGTCTCAATATTTTTCCATTTGAAACATTATTAAATATACCTCCGCTATCCTTTTATTCGTATCATACCATTTCTAATATCAGTTGTCATATCGTTCATGCTTATACTGGGGTTAGATTTCATACTAATTCTCATTTTTCATGTCATTCATATCATGTTATACATGCAATTCACAAGACTTAATGTAACATTTTTAAGCTTTCAATATAACGTTTTGTAACGCGCAATTCATAAAGTAAATACCTTACCAGTCACATAATGCAATCCAAGCATAAAATATCACATCACATTATATCTTATATCAATTCCTCTAGGACAACATAACGTTCACATTGTATAACATTTACGTATTAAATCATAACGGTCTCAACATACAAATTATGACATATGGGAAACCAAAGGCATGTGCCACCATACAACGTACAATTTCACGACGATAGGGCTACTTACTTGGTTGACCTAGGTCGAAGCTACTACGACTCCTTGATGCTAGCGCTACTTAACACTGTTCTCTGAAATTTAATTCCGCCTAATGTGTCCAACAATCATAAATTAGTACTATGGGAGTTGACTCACCTAATCTTGCATGAAATAATTTTAAACATACTCCTAATGATTTAAGCTATGCTTAATTACGCATAAATAATTTATGTTTGATTCCATAAAAACTTGATCCTAATAATTTCAACTAAGTTTAATTATGCATAAAAACTTACTCCCAATAATTTAAACTGAGCTCAATTTCAATTAAGCATAGAAACTAACTCCAAATAATTAAAACAAAGCTTAATTTTTCAATTAAGCATAGAAACTAACTCCAAATAATTAAAACAAAGCTTAATTGTGCAGAGAAACTTACTCCTAATAATTTAAACAAAGCCTAATTATGCATATAAACTTACTCTTAATAATATAAACAAAGCTCAATTATGCATAAAAACTTTAAAATCGATTTAAAAAATTTAACAAGCAAGAAGGTTGTTATACTAACATTGAATGCTTTCTAAAAACTGAAACTTGGAGTAAAGGGTACGAGGAAATTAAACCCACGCCGGTTCAGCCAAAATTTTGGCATTGAGCCATCAATAAGTATACTCTCTAACTGATTCGAACCGTTCATTTAGGATGATAAAATGAAGTGGGGGACCTCCCTTTTATAGCAGAGGCCAACCCGCCACTTCTCAGCTTTAGCAACGAGGGACAAAATGTCACTTCTTTTATTTATACTTTTCTTTTTTGGTTCATACATGGTCAAGAAAAAAAAAATTAAGTTTCTTAATATTAGAATTACTTTGGAATTTCTCCTTGATCTCATCCCTATATTTTCAAGTAGTTTCTTCCATTTCATAGTCTTCTAAATATCTCTTCCATTTCATAATATTTAATGATATTTTTTTAAGAAAAATGTCAAGTTGGTTGGTTTCATATTAAAAAGTTTAATTCAAATGACTTCTGCAGAGCCACTTTATGATGTTAAACTTCCCATTTTCAATTATTGTACATATTTTCTGTTCGTCCTTATGACAGCCCAAACTCATTAATGGTGGGCTTAGAAAATTGAAAATGATATAGTATAAGAAAATGAGAAACAAACCCTACATTATAAGACCACTAAACCACCTTGTTAAGCATACATTATAACAAAGCATACATTATTAGCTTCTTCAAGCTTAATATGTTCACGGTCTTTATGACCTTCGTTTCTCCTTTACTTTGGCGACTTTCTCTCTCCTCTGTAATGTCATTCCGACATTCATTTCTCGCTATTTTCTTTGGGTTATTCAACGTTTCTCATTTCTCTTCACCTCCCAGATCATATTATGGGATGAAAATACCTACAACTACCAGTAATGTGATGAAAACTATTTCGAGATTCAAACTCTCTTTTTCCAACAACAAATACATAGTTATTGTACAAGAACTCACCTTTGTGCATGTACAAGTGTTGGAGGGATCTCTCGTCTGTGGGATTGGTGTTTCGACGTTGTTTTTCATCTTGTTATGCTCGTTGGTGAGGGTTCAATTTCTTTTTTTTACACTCTTTCATTCTTTCTTTGAGCAGCAGTGTTTAGGGGCATTAGCGGAAGGATGGGAAGGAGTGTGGAGATTCCTGGGGTCAGGAAAGCTTGGTATGAGGCGTTATAACCAAAATTCTTGGGCTCTCCATAATTCTTGGGTCTCGCTAGAGTTTTCGTCTTTTTTTTTTTTTTTAATTCTGTGTTGTTACACTGATCTATGAGCTTAGAGTTGAAATCTTAATAAGAACCATACGGTGAAAAAAACTGAATTAGGGTTAATATTTTTCGACATTATTGTGACGAGTGTAACTCTCATAGTATGACATCGTAATTGCACACTTTGGAGTGTTCATGGGTTGCATTAGGTTGAGTTGAGACAGTTTTTAGATCCAGTTCCATTGTTTGAGTGTAAATTTTTTAACTTAAGCAACCCTTATTAAATAATGGAATCAACCCAACCACACCAATGAATATTTGTGTTAGGTTGGGAAGGTCAGATCATTTGTTTAAATTTTATTTTCAATAAAAGTAAAATGTTGATATATTAAAAAAGTCTATTTATTTATTTTAAAACATTGAATTACATTTTTTTAATTCAATTTTCATATATATTTTGAAAAAATCACACTCTAAATACTTCAAAAATTTATTTTAAGAGATTATAGAATAATTAATAAAAAAGTTCATTGAGTTTTTTAAACACCCGTGAATTGATTACTTACTCAGTATTGTTTAACTCATTCATGCTACTTTCTCGTGGAGTTTCCATAAGACCCATAACGAGTTTCAAATGTATATTTTTCAGTTAGAAAAACCAGTTATCAAACATGGTTCTATTTTTACTATAAACAATTAAGGAGAACTCGTTACAAACATGTCCATAATTGACTTCATTTACAATTAGAATATAAAATATTGAAACGTCATCCTTGTTCTTCCACTTTAAATTTAAAGGACCATTGCATTACACTTTAGAACAGGGGTTACTGCTAACGATAGATGGTTAACTATAGCTCCCATTGGTGGTTTTGAAAATAACTAAAATACAACTAATAATATGTAAAAAAATATGCAAGCTTAAGAGGGGGTGGTTACCCATTCCAATATAACAATAATATGTTTCTTTAGTTTGAGTGGGTGTAATGGACAATTAAACCTAATTTTACTCATATAAAAGTCGAACAATCCCAACACAAATATTCTCATATTTACAAAATGAATTCATTTTCAACACTTTCACGGTCTCTCCTATTGTCATTGTTCTTTGCTACCCTATTTACTAACATCGATGGAAAAATCTTTCGAAACCCACCGATTACAGTAAACATAACAAATGTTCTAAGAAGTCATGATCAGCTCACTATTCATTGCAAATCTGGTAATGATGACTTGGGAGTCCATCATCTCCCACCTTTGAGCGGTTACGCTTTTGGTTTTCGACCAAACTTTTGGGGCTCAACATAGTTTTACTTCACTTTCCAGTGGTCTGGTTGGTCGCATTACTTTGATATTATACAAGGATGAGAGAGATAGAGCCAAATGCAACGATACTCTGTGTTTGTGGATAGTGGTTGAACATGGTATTTGTATGTTCAACTATAAAACAAAATTGTATGATATTTGCTACTTATGGCTGGCTAAATGAATATAAAAATCGATATATCCATGAATTGAAGGGTTTTGATTATGATATTACAATAAATCGATATAAATTTGATATGGTGTATTAGTTTTAATGAATTATATTATTAAGATTTGTTAAGGTATTTCAGTACATACAATACTTATTTATTAATTTCTTCTGCTTTGATTCAAATTATTTGCCCTCGTTTATCCAAATCTCCCAACATTTTTCGGAACATAAATCAAACTCAAATATGACAAGAATACAAAACCAAATTAACTTTCTTTCTTTTTTTATTAGTTATAAAATTTAAACCTCTCTTTAGCTTTTAATGTTACGTTACTTGTCTATATTATTTCGATGAAAATGGATCCGATTTAAATGTTGGCGCAATCTCGAAGAACATCATTATTTTTATTTGCTAATCTATTTACTATGGAATATCAATTGAATTTATAGCAACCCAATCAAAATAATTCATTTTATAAGCTTGTTCAAATTGACATGACTAGTGACACGGTCTTACATTAATCGCATAATAGAATTTGTTTATTACGACTCTCAAGTGCTACGATAGGCGACACTCACATAATAAACTCAGTTTAGTTTGACCTGGAAATGCTTCCACTAAAAGATGGTGTTACAAGGAAGAGCTAAGGATTGATTTCATACCTTCTTGTGGATTGTAGCCAATTCTAGGGGTTTTCAAGGCCCGATTTCTTCATGGAACCACTCCCATATTGTCACCACCCAATATTTTACTACATATCGTGACTAGCGACAAGACACAAATGCATGAAGTGTTTTGAATATGAAGTAGGGAAAATCCTTAAATTCAAATAAAGTTTTTAAACAACAAACAGACAAAACAAAATAAAGTTTGAAAGGATGCAAATACAAAATAAAGACTAGACTGACGCCCCGGGACAACCCGTTCCTCTGTGACAAACCCCGCCTCCATCACGCCCGCCCTTGACTGACGCCTCGCGCTTCTGAAAAAAAGGAAAACATAGCAAGGATGAGTATAAAAATTATACTCAGTAAGCCACCTACTTGTAGGCTCTCTTCGCATCTTAATTTAATAGTATTCCCACGGTTTCCAACTCAATTCTAGGACGTCTTGTTCTAATCTTAGTCCCTTGGGGCTTGCCCCATGGGTTTCAATGGCTCATCATCCTTTCATTAAACGCCTAGAGGTTCCTTACGCCTAGCTAATGTGGTCGGTATCTCTCTATAAGGTGCTACCTTTACATGGCTATCTGGGACTACATGGTATCTAGCCTAGGGGTGTGTTGAATACCCCTACGCCCATATAGTCCCCCTATGGGGGGCGCGACCCAACCCTTTCCCATGCAGCTAATGGGCTGTACGACGTGGGGAGACATTTCCCATGCGAAATGGCTAAGAGCAGTAAGGATTGATCAGGGACCCTTGGTCCTCCCAAGAAGCTATAGATACCGTTCTCACGCTAGCAATCTATGAACACTCTGAGGTACGCTTCTGCCGTGGTAAACCACTAAGTTCCTAGGGGAAAATTAAATCTGGCTGAAGTGACATATCGCTCCTAACAATAGTTCCCTAAATATCGAGTGGTGACTTACCTAATTGACGCGTGCCCTTTTTCTAGCGTTTCTTTGCCCGTGAGGTGTCCAAAAATACTGATTCCTTTAAATTAGGTCCCTATTCACGTAAAAATAGTATTAGAATTGAAATTGGGACAAAAATCGGGCAAACAGAAAGCAACCGGGCCAAATTGGCCGTCCCACGCGCGCTGGGAGTGCGTGGTCACATGCGCGCGAAGGCGCTAGTCACAGGCTGCATGCGCGCCTGCCACGAGCGCCCGCCTCCGCGTAGTCGCGGGTCAGTTGGTCCGGTCGATTCGGCTCGCGTCGCGGTTCGGCCTGGCTTGCAGGCGATACGTGTCGACGCATGTCTGACGCCTGTCCCCGCCGTCCGCCACTCGCGGGCAGACTCTTGTTTTTTTTTCTTCTTTCTTCTCTGCCATCTGAAAACAGAAACACAGCCCTCTGTTCCGATTTTCATATCTTTCGATCCGTAGATCTGATTGACATGATTTCTTCGGCAAAGTTTTAGATTGTGTTACGGGCTACGTCCTCGTATTTTTTTTTTGTAATTTTTTGCTTGACTACCGGACAAGTTAAGAACGTCGGAAGTTCGCTCACCATTCTCGGACCACTCTCGGATCTCTGCCTTCGGGTTGAGGTTTCGGCCAACTTCTTCACAGACCGTGCGTGAGTTGTTCCTAGGTGAATATTACAGCATTTTAGGATCGATTCACAGAGGAAAAACTCAGATCTGAGAAATGTCGTTTAGAACCTTACCTCGCGAAGTGTTCTTGGGTCTTGACGGAGCGTCAGCCTCGCTAGCCTCTCGATCCTTGTACGAGTCTCGTCTGAGGATAGATTCCGGCAGTGGTCTGTTAATCTTCCCAGCGGACTTCTCTCCAGTTTGTCTCTATCTCTTTCTTTCTTTTGCAGGGGATCTGACGGGGTTCTCCGTGGACCCCTATTAGGGCTGGAGGGGCGAAATGACATTTTTGCCCCTCAGTTGACTTAGCCACCACCTTTTTTTTTCTCTCTTGCATTACAAATTCTCCCCTCCTTAGGAACTTTCGTCCCTGAAAGTAGCTATCTCTTGGAAGAGTTCGGGATAAGCTTTCCTCACGTCTTCTTCTCGTTCCCTGGTTGGCACTTCCTCACAACGGTTACCCCATGAGACCTTTACCAAGAGAATATCGTTGTTACGCAACTGCCTAGTGTCTCGAGCCAAAATTCATCTTGGCTTCTCCTCGTAAGACAGATCTTCTCGAAGAGGAAGCATTACATGAGTAGGGTCTGGAGTATACTTTCGCAGCATGGATACGTGGAACACATTGTGCACGACGGCAAGGTTCGGTGGTAGGGCAATTCTGTAAGCAATAGCCCCAACTCTCTCTAGAATTTCGAAGGGGCCTATGAACCATAGGCTCGATTTCCCTTTCTTTTCGAACCTCAACACCGCCCTCATAAGGGCTACCTTCAGGAACACATGGTCACCCACCCCAAATTCGAGGTCCCTTCAACGCACATCTGCATAGTTTTTCTGTCGACTCTGTGCAGTGAGTATCCTCTGCTTGATTTTCTGCACCGCTGCGTTGGTGACCTGGACCAACTCTGGTCCCAGTAGTTGCTGTGTGCCTACCTCTTCCCAAAATATTGATGTTCGACACCTACGCCCATACAGTGCCTCGAAGGGGGCCATCTTAATGGTCGCTTGATAACTATCATTGTAGGAAAACTTCATTAAAGGTAGATGTTCGTCCCAGCACCCAGCAAAATCTAAGGAGCAAGCTCGCAACATGTCCTCTAAAACCTAGTTCAGCCTTTCGGTATGTCCGTCCGTTTGAGGATGGAATGCTGTACTGAACCTTAACTGAGTTCCTAGTGCTTTTTGAAGACTCCTCCAGAACTGAGAGGTGAACCTAGTGTCTCGATCTGATACTATGGACACTGGTACCTCGTGCAGGTGTACTATCTCCTTGATATATAACTGAGCCCACTAATCCACTTGATATGTGGACTTTCCTGGAATGAAGTGGGCTGTCTTAGTTAGTCTGTCTACAATTACCCATATGAAGTTGAAACTCTGCTTTGTCTTTGGCAAACCTGAAACGAAATCAATACAGACTGCTTCCCATTTCCACTGAGGAACGCTCAGGGGCTGTAGCAATCCTGCTGGGAGTTGCCTCAGGGCCTTCACTTGCTGGCAGGTCAAGCAACGGCTTACGAAATCCGTTATGTCCCTCTTCATTCCGGACCACCAATAATATCTTTTCAGATCTTGATACATTTTCGTACTTCCAGGGTGGAACACATAAGATGTATCATGGGCTTCCGTCATATAATCTTTTAAGATTTTCTCGTCTCGAGGAACGCACAGGCGGTTTTGCCATAGCAGACCCCCGTCTGAGGAGATAGAATACCCTACTGGCCTCTCTGTCTCAGTCTGACTTCACACTTTACTGAGGTGTTCATCAGACCTCTAAGCGTCGATAATTTCCTTTCGTAGGGTGGGCTATATGGTTAACTGTGCCATCTCAACACTACCACCTTTAACCACAACGTCTATCCCAGCCCTCTTCATGTCATCTTGTAGTCTTTCCTGTGTGGTGATCATCACAGAAGTATGTACGACCTTCCTGCTTAATGCATCAGCTACCACGTTGGCCTTGCCTAGATGGTACAGGATCTCTATGTCATAATCCTTTACCAGTTCCAACTATCGCCTTTGTCTTATATTGAGCTCCTTCTGCGTGAATAAGTACTTGAGGCTCTTATGATCGGTGAAGACTTGTACTTTTTCCCCATACAGGTAATGCCGCCACATTTTTAGAGCAAACACTACAGCTGCTAACTCGAGGTCATGCGTTGGGTAGTTTCGTTCATATTCCTTCAGTTGTCGAGAAGCATACGCTATCACCTTACCATTCTGCATGAGTACACACCCCAAACCTTTTCCTAATGCATCACTGTACACCGCGAGATTACTTGACCCGTATGGAACTGTAAGGACTGGTGCTGTTACCAACCTCTTCTTGAGTTCCTAGAAACTCTGTTCACAGGCTGGAGTCCAAGTAAAGGGCTTGCCTTTCTTGGTTAGCTGGGTTAGTGCTGAGGAAATTTTGGAGAAATCCTGAACGAATCTTCTGTAAGATCCCGCTAGCCCTAGAAAACTCCTCACCTCTGTGACTATGGTCGGCTGTGGCCACCTCATCACCTGTGTGACTGTGATCGGCTGTGGCCAACAACACTAATGTAATTCACCCAATACAATCATATAAAATACTCTAACAAATAATTTACATGGAGAGCTAACCTGAAGTAAAACTACTAGCATGCATGCAATCCAAGCGAATCCTACAAGTACTTCTTCCTAAATATCGGGTGGTGACTTACCTGGTTGACGCGTGCCCTTTTTCTAGCGTTTCTTTGCCCGTGAGGTGTCAAAAAATACTGATTTCTTTAAATTAGGTCCCTATTCACTTAAAAACAGTATTAGAACTAGATCCGGGACAGAAATCAAGCAAACATAAAGAAATCGGGCCATATTGGCCGACCCACGCGTGCTCACGCGCCAGTAGCGCACTGGGAGTGCGTGGTCACACGCGCGGGAAGGCGTCAGTTGCAGGCTGCACGCGCGCCCGCCTCCGCGTAGTTGCGGGTCGGCTGATATGGGCCCCTCGGCTCGTGACGCGGTTCGGCCTGGCTTGCAGGCGACACGTGTCGACGCCTCGCTAGAGCTGCGTTGCTCTAGCCAATGGTCGACGCGTGTCCAGCGCCTGTCACCACTGTCCGCCGCTCGCCGGCCGACTCTTCTTTTTTAGCTTTCTTCTCTGCCCTCTGAAAACCGAAACATAGTCCGCTTTTTCGATTTTCATATCTTTCGATCCATAGATTGGATCGACATGCTTCCTTCGGCAAAGTTTTAGATCGTGTTACGGGCTACGTCCTCGTATTTTTTTTTTGTAATTTTTTGCTTGACTACCAGACGAGTTTGGATCGTCGGAAGTTCGCTCACTGTTCTCAGGCGACTCTCGGATCTCCGCCTTCGGGTTGAGGTTTCGGCCAACTTCTTCACAGATCGTGCGTGAGTTATTCCAAGGTGAATATTACATAATTTTAGGATCGATTCACAGAGGGAAAACTCAGATCTGAGAAATGTCGTTCAGAACCTTACCTCACGAAGTGTTCTTGGGTCTTGACGGAGCGTCGGCCTCGCTAGCCTCTCGATCCTTGTACGAGTCTCGTCTAAGGATGGATTTCGGCAATGGTTTGTTAATCTTCCTGGCTGACTTCTCTCCAGTTTCTCTCCATCTCTTTCTTTCTATTGCAGGGGATCTGAGGGGGTTCTCCTTGGACCCCTATTAGGGCTGGAGGGGTAAAATGACATTTTTGCCCCTCAGTTGATTAGCCCACGCCTCAGTTGATTACACATATACTTTCCTCAAGCTAAAGGACTTGGTTTGGAGGAATGCCTTCGAGTGTAGGACCATAATTTTGAGAAATTGTAATCGGTGGGAATGTTACTCAAAATGTCGGATTTTCGTTCTCTTGGACAGCCTATTCCACGACGTTGAAGCTCTCGTTTCCTTCATCAAAGTTACTCAATTCGATCCTGAAGCTTAAGGAATTCTCAATTTGAAGGAAAAGGAACCATGATATGAATTTGAAACTTACTCCAAATTTGAAACCGAAACAGATTTACTTCAATTGGGCACGTTCTTCAGGTTATTTCTCTTCATGGTCTTCTACGAAAACATTCCTCGGGGGTGCAGAAACTCACTGGGATCATCCTTGCTTGATGAATTCTCGTGTATCCTCGGATTGGAATTTTGAGTTTTCCTTGAAGCTCTTTAATGGGGGATTGGATTGGGGGAATAGTTTTTAGGCACTTTCAGCACTCAATTTCTTCATAGAACTTGTTGGTAATCTTGTTTAGAAACTATAGGAATAAGTTTGAAGAGAAATGGTGGAGAATTGCTCTCAAATTTGGAAGAAATCCGAGAGTAGGAGATCCAAAATCTAAACGTTTATTGCCTACAATAGGGAGCTCGACCTTGCTCGATTCTTGTAGAAATTTTCCTAGGATGCATGTGAATGAGGACAAAGCATGTTAAAAACACTACATTGGTCTATCGAGATAGTTTTCATGCTTAGAAGCGAGGAGTAATATCACAAATCCATTCTTTTAACTCGAGTCGCGACTATCTTGAAAACATAAAATATATTTTAAGCAATTAAAACAATGTTTGACAATTTATGGCACTTGCTCCTATCTGTGTCCATCCTCGACCAGCTCCTTCTTATCAGTTCAAAAATAAGAAAAATCTTGAATGAGTACAAAGACTTAGTAAGTGGCACTTATAGGCTCTTAATCGTGTTGTTAAGGTGTGCTTGGTACAAATATTCAGTAGGTAGCCTACTTATAGGCTCTTAATCGTGTCTTTAACGTGCACTAGGATATCACACTCTTTCTTGTCATATTCTTGACCTAAGAACTTATGATCTTTAAGTTCAATTCTAGAGTTCTAAGTTCTTGTCATGATTCTGCTCAAAGATCTTGGTTTTGGGAATTGAGTTCTTAATTCTTAGTTTTTGTCTTTGTCCTTCGTCTTGTTCTTGGTTCTTATTCTTATTTCTTATTCTTGT